CACACACCTGTCCTCCTAGCTACTCAGGAAGCTGAGATCCGAGGATCATGGTTCAAAGCCAGCCCAGGCAGGAAAGTCTGTGAGATTCTTATCTCCAATTAACCATCAGAAAACTGGAAATGACACTGTGGCTTAAGTGGTAGAACACTCTCCTTGAGCAGAAGAGCTGAGGGTCAGCACCCAGGCCCAGAGTTCAAGCCCCACAACAACCCCCCCCCCAAAAAAAAAAAACAAAAACCAATAGGGCAAAGCATTAAAGGCAGGACCTCTTTGTAGACAGAAACTACAGGTTATTTATTTATTTATTTATTATTTTTTTTGGTCGGTTGTGGGGCTTGAACTCTGGGCCTGGGCGCTGTCTCTCAGCTCTTCAGCTCAAGGCGAGAGCTCTACCACTTGAGCTACAGCGCCACTTCCAGTTTTCTGGTGGTTTATTGGAGATAGGAGTCTCACAGTCTTTCCTGCCCGGGCTGGCTTTGAACCTCGATCCTCAGATCTCAGCCTCCTGAGTAGCTAGGATTACAGGCGTGAGCCACCAGCGCCCGGCACTACAGGTTAATTATTAAAGGGAAATTCCAGAGGTGGAGGCTCAAAGTGACCTAGAGTTTGAAATAAAAAACAAGTTAAACACCAGGTTACTGAAATGCGGTAAATAACAGCAGAATTCATAAAGAGCCCGGAAACCCAAGTGGTCTGGTCTTACTTGGTAAATAGCAAGTTTGGGATGTGTTTTGGTAAACAGGAAGCTTGGGATGTGTTTTGGTAACTAGAAAGCTTGGAATGTGTTTTGGTAACTAGAAAGTTTGGAATGTGTTTTGGTAAATAGGAAGCTTGGCATGTGTTTTGGTAAGCATCAGTTAAACCCCTAACAAAGGGAAAATCTGGGATGTGGTCTTTGCTTCTGACTTACTGCTTTGTTGATTGGAAATTGCTATTTGTGATTATTGACTGCTGATTCTGCTTCTGTCATGTACACTGCCACCTATGTGTGGCTTTTTCCTTTATAAGCCATGCTGTGGGGTGCAGTTGCTGGGAGGCTAATAAAGACTCCTTGCACTTTTATCTGAGTTGGTGGATTTACTTGCAAGACTGGGATTCAACTATCTATCTATCTATCTGTAAGGTATATTAAATAGGTAGGTTTCATTAGTTAGCTTATGAGGAGAACACCATGTGCAATTCAGGCAGGAGAAGTTTATTTACCGAACTGCTTCCCCCACCATGCATGGTGGAGAAGCATGGCTGAAAAGGAAGAGGGTGGGGGGGGGTGGCTGGAAGAGGGCCAGCCCACCTCTGGGCCAGGACTTATCTAGGCCAGGGACAGGAAGAGGTGTGGCCAAGAGGGGGAGAGGTGTGGCCACACTGGATCTGGCTGTGACCTCAGGGTCTGGGACCCTCCTTGAGTCAGAGGGTAAGCATGTGACCAGAGGTGGCCCAGGATGTGACCTAGCAGGAGGGCAAGGTGACTACTTCCAGGTCTGCCAGTTACCTAGCTAACAGATACTGGGCGGAAACTTAGCCAAGAGGGAGGGAGGTGTCCCTGTTCAGACCTTGCACTATCTATCTTTGTCAGTAGTGGGGCTAGAACTCAGGTCCTGTTCCTATGCTCTTTTGCTCAAGACTAGCACTACTTTGAGCCACAGCTCCACTTCTGGTTTTCTAGTGGTTCATTGGAGATAAGTCTCACCATCTTTCCTTTGTTATGTCCATTTCAGGGATCCCCAAAGACCACCAAGGAGCTGTTTCCAATGTAAGCAAATGAGAGTCATTTATCCTAAGCTCGAGCCTGGGCTCCCAACGTCACTGACGTGGCAGGTCAGAGTTGAGAGCCCTGACCCTTCAGTTAACAGGGTTTTTGTAGGGTTTTCAGGCACATTCTATGCGTCGTAGCATCACTTAGCAAATCCTATCACACCGTGGGAAAGTCATAAAATAATTCTAAAAAATGAGTAGTGTAACCAGTGGCGGGAACAGACCTGGTAAAGGTGATTGGCTGGCTCATGGAGTGGATGCTGTATAAAATGATTGGCTAAAGTGGATGATCTGAGCCCCAAGGGTATGGACCCAGTGGTCTTTGACTGCAGGAACATCTGGAAGTTTAGGTATTTCCTGCCACCTGCCCATTAGCTGTTGTTAGGGGAGTTTCCCCGCAAAGGGGTTGTTGACACATTTCCTGGAATTTAGTTATAACAGGATGGAATCTAAACTTAAAATCGCTATATTTTGTTCAGGCTTCACACCTTCCCTCAAATCTCAGCCTCCTGAGTAGCTAGGATTACAGGTGTGAGCCACCAGCACCCAGCTTGCTGTCTCCTTTTAGATGTTGCGCTTCCTGGAATAGTTAGTGAGACAGAAACTAAGAGGACATTTCTGACAAATGGGAGCATCTGTATTTGGAGTAATAAGCCCACCCTAGACCACTTGTCTCCATACTTGCAGTAATAGTCTTCATCTTTGAAAATGTAGCCAAAGTGATTAAAATTGTTAGGTGATGGGGGCTGGGAAGGTGGCTCAGTGGTAGAGCGCTTGCCTTGCATGCCTGAGGCCCTGGATTCGATTCCTCAGCACCACATAAGCAAAAAGAAAAAAGCCGGAAGTGGCGCTGTGACTCAAGTGGTAGAGCGCTAGCCTTGAGCTGAAGAGCTGAGGGACAGCGCCCAGGCCCAGAGTTCAGGCCCCATGACCGGACCCAAAGAAAAAAAAATTGTTAGGTGATGTGATTGCATATCTAGATGGGAATTCAAGCTGGAGCCCCCAGCTTGGAAATGAAAGCACCCCCCAGACAGGGCCCACCTTTCTACCTTCTTTTTTGTGGGACCCCCTCACAATGCTTTTCGTAGTGGATCTCCAGTTCTGTGATTTGTGTGGAAATTGGAAGCCAAGAGCTCCCCTCCACACCCCCTCCTGCTCCTCTCCAATAACGCCCTGGGGCAAGGCATTCTGGGCTTGAACTCCTCTCAGCATTTTGCTTTGGCCTGGTTGTTCCTTGTCCCTTTGCCTATTGAATGCTTTTGAGAGGATGAAGGTATTGTTCTTATGTTTTTCACTTTTGTTTTTAGACAGAGTCTCTTCCTGTAGCTCAGGCTGACCTGGGACTCACGATCCGCCAGCCTCAGGCTTCTGAGGGATTAGTCATGTGTCACCTCACCTGGCAAAATGTGTTTGGAGAGTGGAGGTGGGGTGCGGCTGCTCAGCAAGGACAGTCTCAGAGCTCACAGCCTCGCCTTCCTAAGATTAAAAACAAAAATTCAATCTCCCTAATTTTAGTTGTTTTCAGTGAAAAGGTAGTAGAGGTAACCTGTCTGAGACAGGAATCAGCGGGACCCGCTGTGCCCGCCCCAAGTGTGCCTCCTGCTGCGCCCCTCTCCCCTCCCAAACCCAAGAGCGCAGCCCGTGCCCGGCAATGCATGGGTGAATGGATCAAGAAAGTCACACACACACACACACACACACACACACACACACACACACACACAATAGGATTTTACACATCCATCAGGAAAAATAATATGCCATTTACAGAGATCTGGAAAAAATGTCAAGTGAAGTCAAACTCACTGAGACAAAAAGCACATGTTTTCAATCATGTGGATGTTCAATCTAAATTATGAATATATGCATATATATCTGACTCATATATATACATATACATATATATATATATATTTGTGTGTGTGTGTTGGGTCAGATGCACAAATAACTTGATTAAGGTGTGGTATATACCAGGAAGGATTCCAATGGTGTAACTCCTGTGATTACCTGACTTACAGTTTAACAGAATGAATGCCAAGAGGCTGGAGCATTATTGTGGGGGAGGGGGAGGTCGAGGTAGCAGGAGCAGAAGGATGGAGAGAGGGAGTCATGATATGCAATGCATATGCACAACAATGGAACCAGACAACTGGGAGGGATGAGTAGGTTGGGGACAGATGGAAATGGGTAGACAAAGGGACACTGCCCAGGATACATGCTTCTCCCAAACTTACATGTTAAATTGAAACCCTTTTGTACAACTACTTAAATATAATCAAAACAGCCCCCCCCCATGGTCCTGTGTTCATGAAGAACTAGAGAACACGGGCAGCTCGGCTCCCCACATCCAGCCAGCCGAGGGAGGCCCCAAGTCAGGAAGGAAGGGAAGCACGTTATGCCTAATTGTTGTCACTGTAACAACCGTGGACTCCAGTCCAGGGTTTCTTAAATCCATCAGAAAATTGTCAAAATACACAAAATGAATTATAAGACACTTTCCCCGCCATCTGCCCGAGCTGTAGTAAACACATTTTTCATTTCTGAAATGAAACAACATGCAATAATATTTTCAAAATAAAAAAGACGTCTCTGCTGTGAATAACATTCCTCTCAATATGGCAACGAACAGCAACCCCTCATTGATCTGCATTTTGAATACACCTGTGAGCCAGGTGCCGGTGGCTCACACCTGTAATCCTCGCTACTCAGGAGGATGAGAGCTGAGAATTATAGTTAGAAGCCAGCCTGGGCAGAAATGTCTGTGAGCTTCTTGTCTCTGGTTAGCCAGCAAAAATTTGGAAGTTTAGAAGGTGTGGCTTACATGCTGTAATACCAGCATTGAGCTCAAAAGCTAAGCAAAAGCACAAAGCCCCGAGTTCAAGCGCCAGTATTGGCACACACACAGAAATGATTTCCTTGCCGGGCGCTGGTGGCTCTCGCCTGTAATCCTAGCTACGCAGGAGGCTGAGATCTGAGGATCGCGGTTCAAAGCCAGCCCGGGCAGGAAAGACCGTGAGACTCCTATCTCCAATAAACCACCAGAAAACCAGAAGTGGCGCTGTAGCTCAAGTGGTAGAGCGCTCGCCTTGAGCTGAAGAGCTGAGGGACAGCGTCCAGGCCCAGAGTTCAAGCCCCACGACCGACAAAAAAAAAAAAAAAAGAAATGATTTCCTTACTTCTATTTCCTGAATAAATCATAAGTATGCTCCAACTTCTACTGTAATTTCCCATGTCCTCCTCATTTCTAGCTTGGACCATTGCTGTATGCTCTGTCTGGGCCTCCGACCTCCAGCCTGAACCCACTTCCCTGATCATGTCAGGCTCTTCTCCTGAACGTGTTGTAGAATCCTGGCTCCTACAAATACAATTCCTGCAAACATATCCACCGGCTCAGACGAAAAGGTACAAGGAGTCTTTATTAGCTGCTGTGACTATGCCCCACCCATCAGGTGGTGACGCAGGGCAGCCATGGTCTCTCACATTGTGGCTTACATAGGAAAGAGGCCATGAGCAGGTAGCCGCGTATAGAAAGGGCCACATGCAGGTGTGTGCGTGACAAATACCAGTTTCCACTAAAGCAAAGACCACATTGGGGGGGGGGTCCCTTTGTTAGGGTTTACCAAATGTTTACCAAAACATGCTCCTATTTACAAAAACATCCTATTTACTAAAACACCTTTCACACCTTCCAAGTCTAAGGCCAAACTACCTTCTGGGTTTCTGGGCTTTTCCTGAGTTCTGCTACATTTCAGTAACCGGATGTTTAACTTATTTATTATTTCATTCTTTATTTTGGGTCTTTACTTCTGAAATTTCCCTTAATGCTTTGCCCTATCTTTAATGATTAATAATTTTGTTCTGTCTCTGATTTTACATTTTACATGGTGATATCTTCCACTCTTCATCTCCCAGAGAGGCCTTTCCTCCGTTACCTGGCAGTCATTTCTACCTGTCTTGAGGATGTAGATTACGTGTTATGTTTCCTAGGCATAAAACTTCTCCATTTTGGTACTCCCCATTTGGTTATTTTTGCACCTTTTACTACAGGCCCTGGCTTTGTCTTCTAATGGTAGGTTTGGGCCCTTCCCGGTCCTCAGATGGAGCTCTTCTTGTGACTGCTAATCCAGCACCCCTGCGTCTCACCCACAGCCGGGTTCTGGTACATGTCTCCTTTCCAGCATACCATAGTCTTCCTGGCTATTTGATTTTCGGATGTCCAGTCTCTTTCTCTACCCCTGTTGAGAGCCAGGGAGAGACAGCGGTAGCCACCATGCCTGTCATTGCTCATAGAGCCACTAGGGGGCAGGCAAACCACATCTCTTCCCAAACTTCAATCCTGGGCAGCCTTCCTTCCAAGGGAAAAATCAATTCTCTTAAGAGCCCATTTGTTGAAAGAGCATTTTGCAAAACAGTCAACTCAGCAAATAATTATCTTGCTGAAGCTTTGAGGAGTTATTTGAGGCTTTTGGTTATATTCCAAGTATACCTCAAATGCTTAATATTTTATTTAAGAATATATGTTTTGCTCTCCACTCACTTTTCTGTCTTCTCTGTTTTCGAGAAAGAACATCTTGCTAGGCCTTGAGTTCTGCCTCTAATCTCGGCCTCATCTGCCTCTGGAAGTAACTGTACTGAGCTGGGTGAGATTTTTGGCTCATCATTTTAGGCATTGTTTTTATGTCATTCTGCATTGGCCCTGGTACCCAGGGAAAGGAGGATTGTTTCTGGAATGGGTCCTTTTTTGTTGGTCGTGGGGCTTGAACTCTGGGCCTGGGCGCTGTCCCTCAGCTCTTCAGCTTAAGGCAAGCGCTCTACCACTTGAGCCACAGCGCCACTTCCGGTTTTCTGGTGGTTTATTGGAGATAAGAGTCTCATGGACTTTCCTGCTCAGGCTGGCTTTGAACCATGAACCTCACATCTCAGCCTCCTCAGTAGCTAGGATTACAGGCGTGAGCCACCTGCACCCCGCTCCCCTTTTTTTTCTTCCTCTATTTTTTTAAATGAAGGAGGTAAGGGGGAATGGGAGAAGTTTTGTCAGTCAGTTTTCTCTAGCAAGATGCAGCTGTGTGTCCTTAAAAAGTTTCTCGGGCCAGGCACTGCTGGCTCTTGCCTGTAATCCTAGATACTCAGGAGGCTGAGATGTGAGGATCATAGTTCAAAGCCAGCCTGGGCAGGAAAGTCCATGAGACTTTTATCTCTAATGAACTACCAGAAGTGGAGCTGTGGCTTCAGTGGTAGGGTACCAGCCTGGAGCACAAAAGCACAGGGACAGTGCCTAGGCCCTGAGTTAAGCCTCAGGACCAGCACCGAAAGGAAAAAAGCTTCTTGGGCCACCCTAACATCCCAGCTTCACAACCAGGAAAAGGGGTCGTTGAGGCTGGCCAAGGGAGACCAGTGTGTGCAAGTACAAGTGTGTGTTGTGTGTGAGTGTATATGTGTGTGAGTATGTGTTGTGTGTGTGTATGTATGTGTGTGAGTAGGTGCTGTGTGTTAGTGTGTGTTGTGTGTGCATGTGTTGTGTGTATATGTTGTGACTGTGCATGTATGTATGCGTGAGTGTGAGTAGGTGCTGTGTGTTAGTGTGTGTTGTGTGTGCATGTGCAGTGTGTGTGTGTGTGTGAGTATATATATGTTGTGAGTGTGACCGTGTGTGTAAGTGTGTGAAAGCTGGAGGACGGGGGTCATGGCTCAAGTGGAAGGACACTTGCCCAGCGAGTGTGAGGCCGGGAGTTCCACTCCCAAAGTGGGGTGGGGAATCATAGAAGCAGAAAGGTAGTTGGTTTGGAGCCCGGGGGTTGGGAGGAGGGGGTAAGAGCAGGAAATCAGAGTCCAGTGAGTCCCTTGTCACAGGGTGGAAAGTTCTGGAACTTGACACTATGGGTGGACTGAACTCTAGTGTACCCAACATCTAGAAAGGATGAGGACGGCAGCTTCCATTTCGTGGGTGCTCTGCTTGGCGCTCTGCTTAGCCCTCTGCTCACGTTGCGCTTCCTTGGGAAGTGCAAGGCCCTGGCTGTGCTCTAGGACTTCAGCCTCCTTTGCTGGGCTGTGCTGGGCTGCTCTGGGCTGCGCTGTCCTGTCCTGTGCCGGCCTGTGGAAAAGGCCGTCCTCCGGAGGGGCAGCTCCCTGGGGGAGGGGGCTGGGTAAAAGAAGCAGCTTTTTTGTTTTTTGTTGGTTTTTACAATTATGATTTAATTCTCAAAATTTCCCATCACTTTAATGACAGCATAATAAAAATATCATTTTTACTTTTGTAAAAAATGGGGGTGTCATTTTGACACATCCCCAATAAAACAATATAACTTGATCATCTCACCCTCTGTCATGGTCCCTCAGTCCTGCATCAAGCTCAACAAGCACCTTCCTTCCTTCCTTCCTTCCTTCCTCCCTCCCTCCCTCCCTCCCTCCTTTCCTACCTTCCTTCCTTCTTTCCTTCCTTCTTTCCTACCTCATGCCTGCCTGCCTTCCTTCCTTCCTTCCTTCCTACCTTCCTCCCTTCCTCCCTCCCTCCCTCCTTCTTTTCTTCCTTTCTTCCTTCCTTCCTTCCCTCCCTCCCTCCCTTCTTCCTTCCTTCCTTCCTTTCTCTCTTTCTCTCTCTCTTCTTTCTCTCTCTCTACTCTCTTTCCTTCTTTCTCTCTCTCTCCTCTCTTTCTTCCTTTTTCTTTTTCTCCAGTACTGGGCTTAGACTTGGGATTCTATACTCACCTTTGGCTTTTGTATTCAAGGCTGGTGCTCTACTACTTGAGCTATGCCTCCACTCCTGGCTTTTTGCTGGTTTATTGGAGAGAAGAGTTTCTTGATTTGTTGCCTGGGCTGGCTTTGAACCGGGACCCTCAGATCTCAGTCTCCTGAATAGCATAGTACTATTTTCATGCGTGCACATGAAGTATTTTATTCATATTCTCTCTCCTTCACCCTCTCCCTTTGTCCTCCCTCCTCCCATTCATACCCACACCCTAGACAGGACCTGCTTCACCTTCCTAAAAGCTGAGGCATGAACTTTACCCAAGGAAGGTTTAAAGGCAACGTCCAGGTCAATCAAAGCTAGGGAGTTAGTGGGAAAAACACAATGCCTTCTTATCTTTACCCAAATCTTGGGGGTCCAGGGTGAGTGAGGTGGCGGTAGGGACGAGGTGGGCAGAGGCTCTGAGACACTCCTCCACGGCCTGGCTCCAGCCCTCGGGCCTCTGTGCGCTCAGAAACAGAACTGACCTGTGTGTCCTCCATGCTAGCAGCTGGCCCCTGTCAGGTAACCCCGTCCCACAGTGCTCTGCTGGGTGGTGCCCTGCAGGGGGCAGCCGGGAGCAGCTGAGGAGAGGTCTGGTGTCCAGCGCTGGCCCCTCCCTGGGCCCCTGAGGCTGCTGCGGCTGCTGCTGCGTGCTCACGCTATGACCTGGCCTCCTCAACTTCCTTTCTATTTCTAGAAACCTCTTCCTCCCTTGGAAATAACTCAGAAGCCCTCCTGCCAGGGGACTCGGGCCTTGGAAGGCTGGTGGCTCTCGCCTTGCAGCTCCTGGTTATCCTTCCTGCTGGCCGGAGGGCAGCCAGCAGCTGCTGTCCAGAGCCTCGGCATGGACGGATGGAGCCAGGTGGAGGATGGAGGTCCTGAGGCTACAAGCCAGAGGCTGGGACCGAGGTAGGTCGGTGTGTGTGGTGCGTGTGTGTGTGTGTGTGTGTGTGTGTGTGTGTGCTGCGTGTGCACTAGACACACAGTGAAGTGACCCTGGCAGACAGCTGCCCCCTGTGCTAGGTTTGATGGCGGAGGCTCCAGCTCTGGGGAAGTTTCTTCATGGTGGTAATCATGCTGTCCCAAAATTCACAGGAGGGGCTGGGGGCTGCCCTCCTCCCAGGGGGTGGGAGAGAGGGAGGGCTCAGCCTTGCTGAGGCGGGAGACGCAGGCATGGTGGAGGAAGGAGCAGGCAGGAAGTTTTCCATCGCTGGGGCGGTGGCGCAGCACAGCTCAAGGCAGTGCGGGGAGCGTGGGCCAGCGCCCGCCCTGCGATTCTGCTTTGGTAACACAAATGCCCTGCGTGGGTCAGGTTTTGTCTTTTTTTTTTTTTTTTTTTTTTGTGGGTCCTGGGATCTGAACTCTGGGCCTGGGCGCTGTCCCTCAGCTCTTCAGCTCAAGGCTAGCGCTCTACCACTTGAGCCACAGTGCTACTTCTGGCTTTTTCTGCTTATATGTTGCTGAGGAATGGAACCCAGGGCCTCATGCATGTGAGGCAAGCGCTCTACCACTGAGCCACCTTCCCAGCCCCTGTGTCGGGTTTTTGTCAAGTTGCGCGTGGAGATGGATGTGGAAGGTGGCACCCAGGTTCTTTTTTTTTTTTTTTTTTTTTGGGTCTGGTCATGGGGCCTGAACTCTGTGCCTGGGCGCTGTCCCTCAGCTCTTCAGCTCAAGGCTAGAGCTCTACCACTTGAGCCACAGTGCCACTTCCGGCTTTTTTCATTTTGCTTTATGTGGCGCTGAGGAATCCAACCCAGGGCCTCAGGCATGCAAGGCAAGCGCTCTACCACTGAGCCACCTTCCCAGCCCCCACCCAGGTTCTTTTCAACCATTTTATTTCATGTTCTACATTTGTTGTGCTTTGTGTTGGTCTCCAGTTTTTACTGGACGGGAAACCCGACGTGGCGCTTCCCCCGGTCACCCTAGCTATTCAGGATGTCGAGATGGAAACAATCTGGGGTTAGAAACCAGACAGGACAAAAAATTGACAAGACCCCTGGTCAAAGAATAGCTGGGGGATGTGTGTGTGTGTGTGTGTGTGTGTGTGTATATGTTTGTGTGTATGTATGTGTATGTGTGTGTATGTGTATGTGTGTGTTTGTGTGTGTGTATGTATGTGTATGTATGTGTGTATGTGTCTATATGTGTGTATGTATATGTGTGTGTATGTGTTTTTGTGTATGTGTGTGTATGTGTGTGTATATGTGTGTGTGTATGTGTGTGTGGGGGGGCAGCTCACACCTGCCACCCCAGCTTCACAAGAGGCTAAGGACATGACAGTCGTCACCTGACACACACGAGGGTTGTGGCATTCCATCTCAGCAGACGTCGGGAATGGGGAGGGCATCTGCCACAGCTGTCCCGTCAACTACAGCAGGAAGCACAAAATAGGAGGATTATGGTCTAGGCACAGATGCAGGTGAAAACCAAAACCCTGTCTCAAAATAACCACCACCAACAGCGCTGGAGGTATGCAGCGAGTCTCACGTGTTGTGATGGTAAAAATGGTTGAAAGACTGTAAGGATTTGGGGGGGGAGCACAGAAAGTCACATGGAACAATCTAGTCTGACCCTGGGATCCCAGCAGTTCAGCTTCTCTGGGGGTCTGGAGGGAAGAGGAGAATGTGTTCCCACTTGACATCGTGGGACCTGATGGGTTCCCTTTGTCCCAACAGCCCAGCAGAGCAGAACCCCGGCGGCTCCCAGCTGCGGCTCCTCCTGCTGGGGAAACAGGGCGCGGGAAAGAGTGCCACTGGGAACACGATTCTGGGCAGAGCTGTGTTCGAGTCCAGGTTCAGCGATCGGATGGTGACGAAGGTGTGTCAGGGAGAGAGTGGAACGGCGGCGGGCAAGGGGGTGGTGGTCATCGACACCCCTGCCCTCTTCTCTGCACTGGCCAGTGCTCCCGACCGGCAGCAGACGGCGCGACAGTGCCTGGAGCTCGCTGCCCCCTGCGTCCACGCGCTGCTGCTGGTCATCACCCTCGGCTACTACACGGTGGAAGATGAGGGCACCTTTGAGGGCATCCGGGACGTGTTTGGAGCGGACGCCTTCAGGAACGTCATCGTTCTCTTCACGCGGAAGGATGACCTGGGGGATGAGCTCCTGCAGGATTACATCGACAGCAAGCAGTCCCTCAGGGAGCTGGTCCGACAGGTCAGCGGTCGGGTCTGTGCTTTCAACAACAAGGCGCAGGGCGCTGAGCGCCACTCCCAGGTGTCGGAGCTCTTCTGCAAGATAGAGGATCTGCTGCTGAAGACCAGCGGGCTGAGCTGCGAGAACTTGAAGATGGCAGGCAGTGAATTCCAGGTGAGAGCTGGTGAGTGAGTTGGAGGTGGGGCAATTGAATGGAAGACTGCTTTGTGTGAAAGACCAAAGGTTTTGTTTAAGATATATACTCTATCAGTCATCTATCTATCTATCTATCTATCTATCTATCTTTGTATCATCTATTTATTTGTTAGTCTTGGGCTTGAACTCAGGGCCCGGGCATATCTCTTAGCTCTTTTGCTCAAGGCTGGTGCTCTACCACTTGGATTAGAGTTGGAAAGATGATTAATTTTTGTAGCATTCACATTTACATTGGCATAATCTCTTGCATTTAAAGAAAACGTTCCATGCTAAAGCACTTGTATATTGGGATTGCTTAGTAATGCATGCCTCTCATGCCCTGTCTCTATTCTTCCTGCACTGATCAGGATGCATTGTATGCATAGATTGCTTTGTGAAATAGCAAAATATTCAATACATAACCTAAAAATTAAGAAAAGTGAGGGGAGGGGTGGGTTGGGAGAGGTGGGTGAGAATGTTGAAAGGATTAACACCGATCAATATAGATTGTATTCATAAACTGCTTTGTTGAGTGGCAAACTCGTTTGTACAACTACTTCAAGATAATAATGATAATACCCTAAAGTTCACGCCAGTACCCCTGAGGCAGTCTGAAGTCCTCTCCTTCTTACAGTGTGTCTGTGTCACATGATACGTCTCCTTTCTCTGCTTTCTCATTCATTGGTATTTTGGGGTGACAAGCCAGACCTGAGATGTTGGAACTTCCAGAGTTGGGGACCTCTGGCCAAGAACTCTGGGTAAAACTTCATTATTTTTGTGAAAAAAAGAGATAAAAAATCTGTATCACTTTTTATTTTCTAGGATTGTGTGAATAAAGCTACATGTCAAGCAGGAGCTGGTCCATGTGGTAAGTCAATCCTTTAAACAGTTTAGGTTCACACCTGCATTCTGTTAGTGCATTGGGCAGCTAGAGGGAAGGAGGAAAGCTGTCCATGTGAATCAGAAGCAGAGTACATCCGGGGACCAAGCTTGTACGTGCCACACTTATACTGGGGGAAATCCTAACACATTGCATTGGGGCCTCACCAACCCTGGATGCCATGTGTCATATCCCGGCCCCTCTGGCATGGTATGATCCAGGCTTGCTTGCTATGGCTTCTTTCCTAACTCAGCTTCTTTTTCCTGGATCCGAGTCCAGCATGGTCCATGTTTTGGCTATGAATGCAAAGCCAAAACCACTCTTAACAAACAACCACAACATGCAGCATTCACAGTGGAAAGATATTGCAAGTATTGCTGCCGTAGCTGGTTTTCATTGCCTATAATGATTAGTGCACAATCCAGTACCTACTAATCATGGAGGTGTCTTCCACAATGTGGACAGAAACAGAGGAGGCAGCCCTGGATGCACTTCTAGATTATTTCTGGGCCAGCTCTCTGCAAGAACTGAGTGTTCAGTGGTGAAGAACACCCCCACAGGACATGGGGCAGATGTGAGGTGCAGAGATAGTTTCAGGGCACAGATTTGCAGATTTGATCGCCATCCACAGAGGCCTGAATTACCTACAGTAAAATGCACAAATCAGAGGTAGCCACTCGATGGCCTGTTCCATCTTGACCCCATGTAGACACAGGTATGGAGTGCATTAATGACCTTAGAACGTTTGACAACCATGTCCCCAGCTCTAACCAACACAGGTTCTTAACTGTGTTCAATGGATGACATGGGGTGTGGGCTTTGGCTCTGGGTTCATGCTTTTGAGTTCCATCCCTGTTGCGCATCAGTAGTTTTTGTTTTTACTGAGCAGCATTTATTTTGTGATGGTCCTATTAAAAAGAGGACATTTTTACTTCAGCTCTTCCTCATTCTCACCTAAGCTCAGAGACCTCATGCTTCCTTCAGTAATTCCTTTGAAAGACAGGGACCAATGCAGCCCCTAATTCAGCATCTCCGCCCTCCTGGGAAGTCTCCCGCTCCCCGTGCATCCCCTAGTTCCCTTCTTTCTGCTTCACGTCTCCACCTGCTGGCTGACTTCTGACCTGGTCAGAACACTTTTGCCATTCTCACTCTATGTGGTCAGGGCAGAGACATCCTAAAACCTAGCCGTAAGACCATAAGAGGAGGCTCTGAATCTGCCTTTTTATCCCTTAGATCCGGGAGACGGACCACTGCAGGCGTCAGGACCTGAGCAGGACCCTGGGTTGCTGGACTTTCAGGTTCTCCTCGTGGGGAGGCAGGGCTCTGGAAAGAGCACAGTGGGAAACAGCATTCTGGAGAAGCAGGTGTTTAAGACTCAATTCAGCCAGCAGTCAGTAACCCAGCATTGTGCGTGTGAGAGCAGGATCTGGAGAGAGAAGAAAGTTCTGGTCATTGATGCTCCAGAGCTCTCAGCTTCAGAGTCTGCTGCGTCTCAGCTTAGGAAAAGCATGGCTGCCGGCCCCCATGCCTTCCTGCTGGTGACACCACTGGGTTCTTTTGGCCAGAGGGACATGGAGGTGCTACAAGCCATCAAACGCCAGTTTGGAGACAAATACATTAAATACATGATCATTCTCCTCACTAGGAAAGAAGATTTACAGGGAGAAGACCTAAATACACACTTAAGCAAGAACAAAGCTCTGTGTGAACTCATTGAGAAATGTGAACACAGATACAGAATCTTCGACCACTGGGCAATGCCAGGGGAGAAGCAGAGTCAGGTGGACGAGCTCCTGCTTCAAGTGGAGAGTGTAGCGCAAGAGAACGGGGGCAGGCCTTGCGTCTTCAGAGAGAAAGGTAAGCTGCACACACAAAGCCATTGCCTGCCTGCCTGCCTGCCTGCCTTCCTTTCCTTTCCTTCCTTCCTTCCTTCCTTTCTTCTTCCTTCCTTCCTTCCTTATTTCCTTCCTTCCTTCCTTCCTTCCTTTCCTTCCTTCCTTCCTTCCCTCCCTCTTTTCCTTCCTTCCTTCCTCCCTTCCTTTCCTTCCTTCCTTTCCTTCCTTCTCTCCCTCCCTCCCTCCCTCCTTTCCTTCCTTCCTTCGTCGGTCATGGGACTTGAACTCTGGGCCTGGGTGCTGTCCCTGAGCTCTTCAGCTCAAGGCTAGTGCTCTACCACTTGAGCCACAGCGCCACTTCCAGTTTTCTGGTGGTTTATTGGAGATAAGAGTTTCATGGACTTTCCTGACCGGGCTGGCTTTGAACCATGATCCTCAGATCTCAGCCTCCTGAGTAGCTAGGATTACAGCCACTGGTGCCTGACCGAGAACCAGATCTTTCGTAGGTACCAAAAGAAAAGAAAAGGAAGCAGAGGCTGAAATACACAGCAGATATGGGGGTGTCAGAGGATTAAGCTGCCTTATATTCTGTAAACTAGCATAGTAGTTTTAGTGGTTACTGAAAATCAATTGTATGGAATAGTTATTGGATACCTCTGAGAGATTTTGCGATGATTTCCTGTGGTAGTGGGAGGGAAGGGGGAGAGAGAGAGAGGGAGAGGGAAAGAGAAAGAGAGAAAGAGAGAGAGAGAGAGAGAGAGAGAGAGAGGGAGAGGGAAAGAGAAAGAGAGAGAGAGAGAGAGAGAGAGAGAGAGGGAGAGAGAGTTGGAGCAGAAAGAGAAGATGGGGATGAATTGCACCCAGCTGGGATAGGCAAAGATCAAGCCAGTGTGTGTCACAGATGCCAGGGAGTCAGAGGATTCCTGGGAGAAGCGAGCAGGGCAGATCAGACGCAGGAGCAGGGCCACGTTCATGAGTGAGCACTGACAGAGACCAGTGTCTGAGTCGTGCTGCTGAGTTCACGGACTCTGTGAACAGGGACAAATCCCTCTCAGGCAGAGGTGGTCCTGTCGGCTGCCGGAGAGGCAGGTAGTGATGTAACCCTGCTCTAGAAATAACTTTGGGGGCTGGGCTCTGGTGCCTTATGCCTGTCATCCTAGCTACCCAGGAGGCTGAGATCTGAGGATCATAGTTCAAAGCCACCCAAGCACCAATTAACCACCAGAAAACTGCAGAGCTGTGTCTCAGAGTGGTAGAACTCTAGCCTTGAGCAGAAGAGCTCAGGGACAGCGCCCCAGGCCCTAAGTTCAACACCCCCCCAACACCAAAGAAATAACTTGGGAAGGTGAATTCCATATCAGCCCGTGACCATGAGTCTTTTATTTCCTCTGCACAGAAACCCTGAGCCTGGTCCTCGTAGGGAGAAGTGGGACGGGCAAGAGCGCAACGGGGAACACCATCCTAGGGAGATCCGTCTTCCTGTCACAGCTCCGTGCCCAGCCGGTCACCCGGACATGCCAGAGTGGCAGGACGGCATTTGACTGGCAGGAGGTTGTGGTTGTGGACACGCCGCTGTTCACCCAGATTCCTGGTGTGGAGAAAGATCCATCCTGGTTAGAGAAGGAGGTGGAACGCTGTTGGGCTCTTTGTGAAGAAGGAACTAAGATTCTTGTGCTGGTGTTCCAGCTGGGGCGGTTCACCAAGGCGGACGAGGCAGCGGTGGCGCAGCTGGAAGCCATCTTTGGGAGTGATGTCCTGCAGTTCACCATCCTGCTTTTCACTCGGAAAGAGGACCTCGGGAGCGAGACGTTTGAAGATTACATCCAGAAGACAAATAACAAAGGCCTGAAGAAAATAGTTAAAAAGTGTAGGGGGCGAGTGTGTGCTTTTAACAACAGACAGACTGACCGATCCCAGGACACCCAGGTGAAAGATCTTTTGACAATGGCCAATGAGCTGAAAAAGAGCCATGATGAGCAAGGGTATCCCTATCCATTGGAGAAAGTCAGACAGTATATTAAAAGTGTGCAGGTAAAGGATGGTTTCAGACAGTTTTTTAGTAATTTAAAAGGCAGGTAGCTGGAAGGCCTGAGGTCTGGGGAAGCTCAGAACATTGTCTGCTCGTGAGGAGGGGGTGGCAGGTTGGCTTCAATGGTAGGAAGGTGTGCGGCTCTGAAGGCTACAGAGGCAAACACATCTCACCTTGCGATGCTGTGGCTATTTTAGGTAAATAAATGGCTGGACTATAGCCAGCTATATTAGAGTCGAATCACAAAAATCCCTCAGTAATGTATCAGTGTAGGAAAGATGGAGTCAGAATGGGCACTTTGTGTAAGTTCCACGTCAGCATGGGGCCAGAATAAAGACAGTTTCACTCTGGATGCTGGTGGCTCACGCCTGTCATCCTAGCTGCCCAGGAGGCTGAGATCTGAGGATCACAGTTCAAAGCCAGCCCACACAGGACAGTCTGTGAGACTTTGACCTCCAATTAACCACCAGAAGACTGGAAGTGGAACTGTGACTCAAAGCAGTAGAATATGAGCCTTGAGCAAAAAGGACTTAAGAATAGGACCCAGAGCTTGGGTTCAAGCCCCATGCTGACCAGAAAAAACATTTAACAGGACTCAGAGCACCCAGATACAGAGAGCGGAGCCATGTTCAGCACACCATTAGTCATGGAAGAATGGAGAAGTGGGCTCTGGCGGCCCTTCTGATGGCGCGTGTGTGTGTGTGTGTGTGTGCGTGCGTGCGTGCGTGCGTGCGTGCGTGCGTGCGTGTGCGTGTGTGTGTGTGTACGTGTGTGCGTGCGTGCGTGCGTGCGTGCGTGTGCGTGTGTGTGTGTGTACGTGTGTGTGTGTGTGTGTGTGTGTGTGTGTGTGTGTACGTGTGCATGAGCCAACACTGGGGCTTGAACTCAGGGCCTAGGCATTTCCTCTTAGCTTTTTTGCTCAAGACTGGTACTCTACCACTTCAGCCACAGTTCCACTTCCAGCCTTTGGTGGTTCATTGGAGATAAGAGTCTCATGGGCTTTCCTGCCCTGACATGGCTTCAAAGCACAATCCTCAGATCTCAGTCTCCCAAGGAGCTGAGATTACAGGCGAGAGCCATTTGTACCTGACCAGTCTTTGAGAGAGAGAGAGAGAGAGAGAGAGAGAGTTCATTGCTAAACATCTCAGTGAATTGGACGAAAGCAAAAATTTGAAGTGAAATTCCTTAAATTTGAAGATGTAGCAAAATTCTCAAATTCAAAGGTTAGCTCTATTCCTATTCAAAGAAAGCTTCTGGAAATTCCTTTGTAATGCCCACTCCCCTTTTTAAATCTCTGGGGATTTGAGCCACCTTCCCAGCCCCATGGGATTGTTAAAATTCAGACAAATGAAACGATAATGATTTAAACATATTAGAGCCTGACTGTAGCTCATGTCAGGAAGTCTGGGAATGAGCATTCCGGGGCTAGTGGACAGCAACATTCTGGCTCTGTTCTTCCTGCCCCAGCTCTGTGGACATGTGGCTTCCTGCTTCTAGGATGAGCGTACCTGTCCATGACTGAGCCAATTCTATTGGGAGCCACCTGAGGTGTACATGACATAGCAAATCTAGAATCTCCTGCAAGGTAGATGAAGGGTCAGACATCTTTGGCATTCACCCTTTTAGATGCATATTGGAAGTAGGGGCTATGCCATTTATACACTTTCCCCAGAAAATGTTACCTTCCAGATCAGCTTGTTTTTCAGATATAACCGTCACCTCTACTGCCTTTGAATGCCACCTATTTTTTAACTTCTAGAAAATGCATGTCTAAGTATATCAGTGATGAAATAATAAAGATGAATTAGATTGTGAAGGCGTGTCCTCTTCTGATGCCCGTTTTTCTGACGTAGGGGAAGAGTACACCGCCAAGAAGGGGCGGCTGAGTTGTGCAGAGGACTCAAGCTAGGCAGGGTGTGCACGTTTTGGTGTGCGAGGCTCTTCCGAATGAATGAGAGCCACGCGGATGGGAGGCCGCTGGCAGCTCAGGAATCTTCTGTTCTAGATATCTCATTTCGGTAAGGACTAATAAATGTAAGTAATATTAGAACGGGAACGTGGTGGAATAAAGTCTGAGAGCAATTTTGTGCCTCTTCCCTGAGCTTTCTTTCTGTTGAAAGGCCGGAACAAATCGCAGTGAACCACTGGTGACTGAGCAGGTGACACTGGACCTGCGCCAGGCAAGAGTGTGTGCGTTAAAGAACACGTCACAAGAATATCCTGTGGTTTTTCTTTCTTTTATTTTTCTTTGCCAGACCCGAGGGCTTGAACTCCAGGGCCTAGGCACTGTCCCTGAGCTTTTTGTGCTCAGGGCTAATGCTCTACCACTTGAGCCACAGCTCCTCTGCTGGCTTTTGTGGTGGTTAATTAGAAATGAAAGTCTCATGGACTTTCCTTCCCCTCTCCCAGCCCCCAGTCTGACTTTGAAATATTACTCTCAGATGTCAGCATCTGGAGTAGCTAGGATGACAGGTGTAAGCTACCGGTGTGCTGTGATTTTCCTCTTTCTTTCCTTTTCTTTCTTTCCTTTTCTTTCTTTCCTTTTCTTTCTTTCCTTTTCTTTCTTTCCTTTTCTTTCTTTCCTTTTCTTTCTTTCTTTCTTTCTTTTTCTTTCTTTCTTTCTTTCTTTCTTTCTTTCTTTCTTTCTTTCTTTCTCTCTCTCTCTCTCTCTCTCTTTCTCTCTCTCTCTCTTTTTCTTTCTTTTCTTCTTTTTTGTTGGTCATGGGGCTTGAACTCTGGGCCTGGGCGCTGTCCCTCAGCTCTTCAGTTCAAGGCTAGCGCTCTATCACTTGAGCTATAGCACCACTTCCTGTTTTCTAGTGGTTCATTGGAGATAAGAGACTCACAGATTTTCCTTGCCTGGCTTTGAATCATGATCCTCCGATCTCAGCCTCCTGAGCAGTTAGGATGGCAGGCGTGAGCCACTGGCGCCAGGTGTGATTTTCCTTTTCCACCATTCTTGAGCAGGGCACCGACGCTGCAGTGTCAGTTGCGGGAAGAAGCGCGTGCTGACAGGGAGGGTTGTGGGGGTTCATGCCTGAGGAGGGCTAAGGAGGAAAGGGGAATGGAGCAGAATTGGACTGTGGTGATCATCAGGCACCCATCACGGGAGCACTGGGAGGAGAGATGCAGAGCCGACCCAGCCTGTGCCGGCTGACCTGGGAGCTTCGGAGTGAAGAGCAGCCAGCAGCCAAGGCCTGCAGTGGAGAGGCACAGGCAGGTCTTGCTGTAGGAAACGTCTAGGAAGATTGTGGCTTTGTTCAGGAGGGTTACACCTCCAGGGCGGTGCAGGTCCTCGCTGCCATTGCTAGCTGCATGTATCATGCAGACATACTTTGGCGTGAGGATTGGGGGATCCCTTCCTCCAGGGTTTTGGATGTTCTGAAGGGAAATGAGGGAGATGTCCAGGTTGATGTTGGTGGTTGGCTCTTGTGCCGTCCAGGCCCTGAGCTGCTTTTCCCTGTCTGCCTCTCACGCTCTGCTCCCTTCAGCTTTCACGTCTGCTTGCCTTGGTGCTTACCTGCTGGTGTGAGCAACAGCCTCCCTCCACGGGCTCCAGCTGAGGCCCTGCTGACCATGTTTGTCCTGGGCTGGAGTTGATGAGTTGTCGTCATAATTGCCACTGGACAAGGGAACACCAGAGGTGCCCACGTGGCCGTCCACGAGTGTTCCTCTAGGCCCCCATCATGCGGCAGCAGCCCTTTTCCTCCTGCTGTGCAGCCTCAGCAAAATGAGCCTGCTCTTTGTGTCTGTTGGTGTCTGGACACAAGAATCCCAAGTGTCCAGGTGGCAGCCATAGATCATAGTTCTGTGAGCTCTGTGCTGCAGCCCTGAATCTAACCTGCACTGCTCTGGGACAGGAAGCCCCAGGTGTCCCGGTGGGTAATTGGGGATGGGGGGGAACGCTCCTGCCTCTCCTTCCTCTGGGTTCTCAGCGTCTTCTTGTTGGGGACACAGAATGCCATAGAGGTTACCGATTGACTCAGGGACAGCAGTCCAGAATCGATCTTCCACTCTCTCAGCCTGTGAGTCTTAGCGCATGGGGTGTCTCATCCATCAGGATGCTGGCCACCTACTTCCATCTGGACATGTTGCTCAGCAAGTGACATCACCCGTGTAATGCAGCGGTTCCCAAATGAGAGAGATTTCCCTTGCGGAGAGCACTGAGCATTTCCAGGATTGGTTTTTTGTTTTTTGTTTTTTTTGTTTGTCAGACATGGGGCCTGAACTCTGGGCCTGGGCGCTGTCCCTCAGCTCTTCAGCTCAAGGCTAGCACTCTACCACTAGCGCACAGTGCCACTTCTGGCTTTTTTTCTTTTTGCTTATGTGGTGCTGAGGAATCGAACCCAGGGCCTCAGGCATGCAAGACAAACGCCCTACCACTGAGCCACCTTCCAGCCCCTGTTTTTGTTTTTCTTGTATGCTGGATCTGGACCTTGAACTCAGGGCATAGGTACTGTCCTTAAGCTTTCTTTGCTTAAGGCTAGTGTCCTACCACTTGAGCAATAGCTCCTCTTTTGGCATTTGGTGGTTAATTGGAGACACAAATCTCATGGACTGTCCTGCTTGGACTGGCTTTGACTGTGCTTCTCAGATCTCGGCCTCCTGAGCAGCTGGAATCACAGGTATGAGCCATCAGTGGCTGATGAGTTTCGATTATACACTTCACAGTGTGCTCGTTTTTTTCATAGTGAGTCATCTAGCACCCCTAGACCATCCTGCCTTTCTCAAAGTAACCCATGACTTCACTTCTCTCTTCCTACACTGAGAAAGACATACTTTAAAAAATAAATATGTGTGGGGCTGGGAAGGTGGCTCAGTGGTAGAGTGCTTGCTTTGCATGCCTGAGGCCCTGGGTTGGATTCCTCAGCACCACATAAGCAAAAAGAAAAAAGCCGGAAGTGGCGCTGTGGCTCAAGTGGTAGAGCGCTAGCCTTGAGCTCAAGAGCTGAGGGCTAGCGCCCAGGCCCAGAGTTCAGGCCCCACGACAGGACTCCCCCCCCCTCAAAAAATATGTATGTATACCTATATGCATACACACACATATAGCCTTTAGCCATGTGTTGGTGGCTCACACCTGTAATCCTAGCTTTGCAGGAAGCTGATCTGAGGATCATAGCTTGAAGCCAGCCTGGGCAGAAAAGTGAAACTTTTATCTCCAATTAAGTACCCTTTCCCTCCCCCAAAAAGCTCCCAAAACCCTGGAAGTGAAGCTGTGGCTCAAGTGGTAGATTGCTAGCCTTGAGCAAAATAGCTCAGGGACAACACCTAGGTCCTGATTTCAAGTTCCAGGACTGGTATGAGAGTGTATGCACACACCCACACCACTCTCCCTCCCTCCCCCGCCCCTTTCTCTCTGTCACATAATTTAAAAGACAAAGTCCCATACAAATAGGCTAAATTCCCAAAACGGAGAGTAAGC